AAAAAAAGAAAAGCAATAAATTCTGAGGATCTAACACAGGACATGCTGACTATAATTAACAATACTGTACAGTATACTTGAAATTTGCTGAGAGAGTAGATCTCAAGTGTTCTCATCTCTCTCTTTCTATGTCTCACTCACACACACACACCCCCCCCAAGCAAATATGTGAAATGATAACCATGTTAACTAGCTTGATTATGGTTCTCATTTCACAGTGTACACATCTTCATACAATTCTTGTAATTTACATACAATTAAGTATGTCTAATTTTTACTTGTCACTTGTATCTTGATAAAGTTGGAAAAAAATTAAAATATGCCATTTTTTGTGAAAAATTGTGACCAAAGAAAAAGTCCGTTATTACTTTAACACAGGGCAGAACACATGTGACATATGTGAGAGAATGCTGGATCATTCTAAATCTTGAGAGCTGTTATGTGACAGAAAGACCGTTATGTGACAACACATGGGAAATGAAGATGTTGAGATATCCTCACTATAAATAGAATATTCTTGGGTTATGTTTTCATTTGTATGGCACGATTACCTAGATCCTTTGATCTGACATCTGCAAAAACTTGTAATTTCCATAATACTTCAAGAGTCAAAACTTTCTTCTAAGGAAAGTTTATCTTCTCTACATTATCATTTAACTTATGATTTCAGCTAGTAAGGAAAGTCGTCAGCTTGGGTGAATGCTCTACTCTTCTATTGACTTGATTGAGAAATAGAAGGATACTCCCTAGTTACGACAGCTCCAGTTGTTACGATCAGCTATTACAAAAATAACCTTCTCTTGAATATACAATCTCCTAGCTAGATGATGCTGTGACTTAACCTGAATGGAAGCATTTGTCATGCTGGGTGATAAGATAGTGTAACAAACATTTGGTGTTGGATCATGAAGTCTTGATTACTTACATGACTCACCCAGCTGAAGATCCTTAGAATTCACTCCAGTATTATATTACAGCTGGATAAACCACAAGAGTTAGGCTTAATTCCTATCATAAAAATTATCTTCTCTTTACGCAGTTCTTATATTATCTCTCTCCTGCTAGATTTCTCAGGCTATGCTCATGTAACAGAAACTACTTCTTATTTAGCTCAAGTTGTTAAATATTCACCATTATAAAAAAGCTTTTTTTTTTTTTTTTTTTTTTACAGTTTTTGGCTGGGGCTGGGTTTGAACCCACTACCTCTGGCATATGAGGCCAATGCCCCACTCCTTTGAGCCACAGGCACCGCCCCAAAAGGCTTGGTTTAAAAAAAATTTTTTTTGCATTTTTCTTAATGAAGTATCAGAAGAACAGAAAAGCAAATATCCAAGGTACCCAATACTAATATGGAGCCAGGAGATGATCCAATGTATGCCCCCATAGGAGAAAATCTCATTTCAATTCAAGTTGGGGAGTGGAGTAATGGGGGAGGGGTTGGGGTGCTCTCACTGAATGGGCACAGGGTGGTGGGGTTGGGATACTTTTTGAGTGTGGGACAAAACCACAAGGAACCTTCTTGCTTGTACCTTCCCATTAACCTGAAATAAACTTACTTTAAAAAAATTTCACAGCAGTGCGCATAGCTCAGTGGGTAGGGTTCTAGCCACATACACCAAGGCAGGCTGGTTTGAATCTGACCCGGGCCAGCTAAAAACAACAATGACAATTGCAACAACAACAACAAAATAGCTGGGCATTGTGGCGGGCACCTGTAGTCCCAGCTACTTCCGAGGCTGAAGCAAAAGAATCACTTATGTCCAAGAGTTTGAGGTTGCTGTGAGCTGTGACAGTACAGCACTCAGACCACAGCCTAAGATTCTGTCTTAAAATAGTAATAATAATTTTCAGCAAGAAAAAACCAAGGCTACTTGCTGTTTCCTTAGTTATTGGAACAGCAGGATTTCTTTGAATGTCTAACTCTCTGAAAGGTTAACACCAGGAAATTATCTCCGTTGTTTGTTGGGGCTGGTATGGAGCTTTCTGGATAACAAGAGGATCTCCTACTGAACTGTGCCGTAACCTTTGTCCATCAGCTTCATCAAGCACATGCCAAGTAGATAATCTCCATTCTTTGTGAATCATGGTAATAAAAATCATTGTCCTTTCTGTAGATTCGAAATCCAGACTGGCCAAATGTTCGTATTTAAGCCAGTGTTTGGAAATCTAAACACTATTCCATAGAAACACGGTTAAGAGTTTCTGTGAACTTACAAGGCAGAAATATTCCTGAAATACAAGATCCAAGAATGTTTAGCCAGGCACAGGAGCTCATGCCTGTAATCCTATCACTCCAGGAAACGGAGCTGGGAGGATCTCTTGAGCTCAGGAGTTTGAGATCAGCCTAAGCAAAACCCAGTCTCTACTAAAAATTCAAATAAAATAAAATAAAATTAGACGGCTGTTGTGACAGGCTCCTTGGTCCCTGCTACTTCGGAGGCTGAGGCAGAAAGGTCTGGAATCCAGGAGTTTGAGGTTGCTATGATCCAGGCTGACACCACGCGGCACTCTAGCGTGTCTCAAAAAAAAAAAAAAGTTTATATGATAATTTTTCTTATTGATACACAATTGGCAGAAAAGTCTGACAAATTTTCCCAAGTATGTATTAGTCTTCTTAATGCATTAAATAGATGAGAGATTTATGAACCAATTTCTGTCTAAAAGTAAGCATTCCTTTACTAAGTGAATTATTATACTGCTGCATCTACTTAATAAAATATATTTAGATACCGGTGCTTTATCTGTTTAAGATGGGACAGTTGTACTTGTTTGGAGAACGTAGTGAAGCATGTCCCAAGCTTTCCTGGACCGCTCTGCAGTAACCTGGATATCCAGCAGGGAGAGACACCGGCAGGACCAAACCTGGCCACGCCCCACCCCCAGGCCCTCACACCTAGTCTGCTGGGAGGCCGGGTCTTGGTTGCTTCCCCAGCTCTGGGCGGTTGAGCCGGGGCGCCCGCGCTCCGCCCCCGGTCCTGATTGGCTGACGGTAGTTTCTCAAGCTGCTTCTATTGGCTGCTGGGGCTCCCGCCGCGCCCGCCGGTTGGCCGACGAGCCCGTTGCCATGGAAACGGAGGTTGTTGTGGTTCCGCGCGGCGCTGGGAGTTTGGGGTTGGCTCCTATTTGCCTGCTGGGAACAAGCTCCAACCTGCGGGGCCCTGGCAGCACTCAGGAAGACTTTCGGCAAGTTGGTGAGCTAGGGTGGGCAGGAGTGGAATGGGGGCGCCCTTCGGGGCCCCGGCCGCGGTCTGAAGTGCAGAACTCAACTGTGCGGGGCAGGTGCACGCCGAGGGTGGAGGGAGGGCGCCGCCTTGTAGCAGCCGGGACGGAGTGAGCAGCGGCTGGATCCCAGGGCGGGAACTCCCAGCCGGGCCAAATCCCGCGGCTCCTAAATTACCTGCTGGATGGAATGAACATGGGGCGAAAACCAGGGCAGAACCTCCCAGCCGGGCCAAGTGCCCCAGTTCCTTGATTATTCACAGTGTACTCTGTATACACCTGCTGTGTGCCTGGCGTGGACGTACTCCCTGTGTGATGTACCCCTGGTAAATACCAGGCATGACATGCCTCGTGCTGTGTGTCAGGCATTGCGATGCCCTTGTTGTGTACCCTGTGTGCACGTGCCCCTGCTGTATACCCAGCACGGATGTGTTCCTGCCGGATACTAGTGTGATGGGTTCGCTTCTCTTTACCTGCAGTGTGCCCTGCATGCACGTGCCCCTGCTGGATAATCTGCGTGGACGTTCAAGTGCTTGGCGATCGGGAGGTGCCTGTGGGCGTTCGTCAGACCGTAAAGGGTCGCGGACTTTGCTTCCGTAGCTGCAGCTCTTGGCGAGTCCAGACCGGCAGCTCCCATCTCACCTGTAAACACAAGGTCCAGCAGTGTCTGCCTCTTCCCGCTGTGCTCGCAGCGCGGGACCATGAGGAACACGAGCAAGGAACTCCAGGGCGCGGCGGCACAACGCTACGCTCCCTGCGGTGAGTGCGCCTCAAACCGCGCCGAGGCCAGAAGCTGTAAACCCACCATTCTTTGGGAGGTAGTAAGGAGTCCAGGAAAGTATGGATCGGGGTATGGAGGGAGTAAATGATGAAACTGATGAGTCATACTCTGGAAGAAGGCTGCAAACTGCTCGAGTGTCAAGTCAAGGCTTAAAGAGAAATGGTGGGGGGAAGGCTCTTGTTTTTTATTTTTATTTTCAACAAGAGTTGAAAATAAGACTACCTACTATTGTTGCCTTGGTTATTGGAGCAATAGGTTGTCCTGAATGTTGACTTTCAGGAGCTTTCTCTTTCAGCTGCACCCAAACTCTAGCAAGTGGCTCCAGAGTTGGTGCTTTTAATCCCTGTTCTCTGAGGCTCCTTCAGAGGACAAGAGCCTGTGCCCCTGTGGCTATGTGGGTGCAAAACACTGCTTTGTGGCTTAAAGACCAGGAGAACTGAGGGTTTTTGGATTCTGCTCACACTCTCACAACCTCTGTTTCCTCCATGATAAAATAAGGGTACAAATACCCCACATATGAGAAGGCCAGAAAGGCTATATAAAGAAAATCTACAGGCTAGTAAGCAAGCTGGTATCATACAAACACTAACAGTTTTTGAGTGCTAAAAGGTAACTCATAGTCTCTTCAGCCCTCTGTGTGAGTTCGTGGGTGTCTGATTCAAGCCCTTGCCAAGTTCCTCCTTTGTACACATTTGTAAATGGCCAGCCAGATTAGAGTTCAGTGCCTGGCCAAAGCTTCCAGTAATGAGAAGAAGGCTAAAGACACCCTGTTCTCTGTGGATTAATTAGTAGTCAAAACAAAGAGAGGAAAAATAAAGCAAGAATCAAACACCTTCCCTCTAAAAGAAAAAATATTTCAGCTGAGTAGGATCAGAGCATAAGCTGCTAAACTCTTCATTCTTAAATCAATCTGCTATGTTCTCTGGTGCAATTCTTTACACCTTTCCTAATTTTTTTTTTCTTTTCAAAACTGTATAGTGTTGATTCAGCTATTTAATGTCCTTTAAATACTTAAAAGATTTTCTGTGTCAATTACTATCCATTTTTGTGTAGTAAACCCAGCTTTACTTTTAAGTAAAAATTGAATGTCTATGTTTGTGGTAGGGGATGGTTGCTTATTATTGTTTCTCTGTGTTTATGTGAATTGATTTATTCAGTATTGTGTTCTTATATAATTACCATTCTCCAGAGCATTATAACCAATAAGATATCTATTTACCTATATACAGGTAGGCTTATTTTAAGAAATTAGCTCCCATGATTGTAAAGCCTGGCAAGTTCAAAATTTGCAAGTCAGCCCAGCAGACTGGAGGCCCAGGGAAGAGATGATGTTGGAGCTGGTATCCAAAGGCAGTCTGAAAGTAGAATTCCCTCTTCCTGCCAGGGTGTCAGTCTTTTTCTTAAGACCTTCAACTGATTGCATGAGGCCCACCCACATTTTGGAGGGCAATCTGCTTAACTCAATGTCCACTGATTTAAATGTTATTCACATCTAAAAAATTCCTTTACAGAAACAGATTGATATTTGACAGATATTTGGATATCATGACCCAGCCAGGTTGACACACAAAATTAATCATTATACCCACCAAGAATAGGGTATTGTGTTAGACTCTGCATGTCATGAACCTTTGATGGTACATTTTGACAAGTATCGCTCAGTGCTGTGTGCTTCCTTAATTGAATCTTTTGTGTTTTACATTTTTCCTGAATTTTTTTCCAAAGTTTTCAATCAGTGGTGATATTTTTCCTTGTATTTGGGCATCAGGTTTATCAATTTCTGATTTAAAGAATTACTTAGAAAACCTATAGTCTTAATGCCCCCAGCTCTCTTCTCTGTGTGGGGTGAGAAATAAACACTAATTGCTTCAGGTCACTGGGATCTTGCCAAAACCTCTAACTCTTGCCAGAAGCTCCCAGTATGATTGAATGTCTCCAGAGAGCCTGCAGGGTCTGTCCTAGATGTCTCCAGCTCAAAGTTTTAGGCGCCTCATTGCTTCACCAGGCCCCTTTCTGCACTGGGCTTGAATCATGGTAGGGAGGGAGGACAGGGAGCAAGCTGTCCTTCATTCTCCTCTTCTGTCCTTCCCCCATGCCATCACTCCCAGCTTACACTTCATAAGAACCCAGTCTACCCTGACAGTGTTTCAATTTGATCTTACCCAAAGAAGCAGAATGCAGTCACCTGTGAATCTCTGGTCTGAGGTCTTCCATAACACATGATCACTCTGGCAGTGCTAGTTCCTTCCCTACCCTTTATCAGGAACCATTTAGACCCCTGGCCACTGCTACTACCCGCTTTGGCCTCCAGCACAACCAGAGGGCCTTATGTGGAGTGAGGCTGCTGGCTCAGAGAAGCCAAATAAGGGGCCTGTCTACTGGCCTGGGCGGTTGGGTTCTAGCCCAGTACTTGGTGACCATGCCCCAGACCTGCTTCTTCCTGCTCTTATACAGTTGGGAAATGTGGGCTGTTATTTCTGTGACGTAGCAGAAATAACATATGGAGTGTGTCAAATCTTGGTCACCATTTGGCCACATATTCTCCAGACTTATCCATAATGTGTTAAGTGGTTTGGGAGTTTTCAAGAATGTACATTTTTCAACATAACGAGAAATGCAGTTAAATCTTAATTTTATGGAGGGTTAAGAGAAATGCAATAGGGCGTGGATACCTCTCTGGGAAGCTAAAAACCAATGAGGGAGGCTCAGCCCTCATAGCCATGACAGGAGAGTTAGGCAGGGCCCAAGACCACCAGGGCCTGTGGAAGGTGCTTTCCTTTCTGTTGGTATCGGGGATTGTGGTGCACTGGTGGGCAGGACAGACTTAATTACATGACTGGTGCTCAGAATAGGCCACTGTCTTCCTCACCAGCATGCTCTGAGGCCTGTGCTGCCCTGACAGAGTGGCCTGCACCAAGGCTTCTCCTAGAGGAGAGAGTCTGCCCTGACCCGGGAGCCCCCCTGGAGCCCACACTGACTGCACCCTTGCCCCCTGCCCTCCAGATTGGTATTACCATCACCCTGTGAAGCTGTCTGAGAAGGCTGTGGATGCCCCACCAGCATCCCAGATCCCAGGTCTCAGCCACTGGGGAGACTCACGTGAGAATATGCTCGGAAACCGGCGATACTGGATAAAAGAAACAGATTCAGAGTATGTGAAGCTTGCAAAACAAGGCGGCAGGTCCGGTAAGCTCCCCACACTGAGGCTTCAGGCCCCTCACAACTTTGTGGCTTTGGGGGGAAAAGAGGGAGTGTTTGTGCCCTAATTTCTTCCATAAAAAATAGTACAAGAAAATCTAAGCGTTTTACTTTAGGCCTTTAGCGGTTTTTTTGTTTGGTTGGTCTTTATTTTTTTGACAAGGTCTCACTATGCCTCCCAGGCCAGACTACAGTGGCATCATCACAGCTCACAGCAGCCTCAAACTCCTGGGCTCAAGTGATCCTCCTGCCTCAGCCTCCTCAGTAGCTCAGACTACAAGTGTGTACCACCATATCCAGCTAATTTTTAAGTGTTGTTTTTTAGAGATGAGATCTTGCTGTTTTCCAGGCTGGTCTTGAACTCCTGGCCTAAAGTGATCCTATCACCTTGGCCTTCCAAAGTGATGGGATATAAGTCTAAGCCACTGTCTAGACCAGGCCTTTGGAAATTTAGATTGATGGAGTAGATCTTAGGATGTGCATAATCTTCAGGGAGGAACTCTTGTTTATGATTTAGACCTAATAGACTGAGTTCACAGAATCGGCTGTGTAGGGTATTTCTTCTGAGTGATACCTGTGCAGTGATTCAATCTTCCTCAGCATTTTATTTTCTTACTGCAAAGAGATCTCAGGAAGTTGCCTGCTTCAGCAGAGAATTGGCCTTGCACTGCAATGTCTTTGCTTACTGTAACCAATCCCTGACTAATATGTGAAAAGATTTTTTCTTGTTGTTTGTTCTCATTGCCTCTTATCCTTTGTATGAAATGTTCTTTGTTGTTGTTGTTGTTGTTTGAGACAGAGTCTCACTCTGTTGCCCTGGATAGGGTGCTTACAGCATAGCTCACAGCAACCTCAAACTCCTGGGCTCAAATGATCCTTCTGCCTTAGTCTCTTGAGTAGCTGGGATTATAGGTATCCACCATAATACCTGGCTAGTTTTTCTATTTTTAGTAGAGGTGGGGTCTCACTTTTGCTCAGGCTGGTCTTGAACTCCTAACTCAAGCAATCCATCCACCTTGGCCTCCCAGAGTGCTAGGATTATAGGCGTGAGCCACCATGCCCAGCCTGTATGAAAATGTTTTAAATAATGAAGACCACAGGTAAATTTCAGTGGTGATGTAGATGAGGATCAAGCTTTTATACAAGATTTAATAGAGAAAGTACTGCTTGACTATGCAGAAAACTAGGGCATTTGAGTTGACTAGAAATCACTGACTACAGGGTTAAGAGACCACATCTGAGATGTCTTGGGGCCAGCCTTTGGGGCCGGTGACACAGAGAGAAACTTTTTCTCCCCTCCAGTTGTCATTACCACTATGAAGATTGTCATTGGGAAAATGGAAAATGAAGTGGCACCATCCTCCCTTTCATATTAAAAAGCCTGCACCAGGCCTGTAATCCTAGCATTCAGGGAGGCGAGGCAGGAGGATCCCTTGAACTCAGTTCAAGACCAGCTTGAACAAGAGCCAGACTTCTGTCTCTACTAAAAATAGAAAACCTAGCTGCACGTTGTGGTGGGTGCCTGTAGTCCCAGCTACTCAGGAGGTTGAGGCAAGGGGATTGCTTGAGCCCACGAGTTTGAAGTTGCTATGAGCTATGATACAATGGCACTCTAGCCTGGGCAACAGAGTGAGACTGTCTCAAAAAAAAAAAAAAAGCCTGCACCAAACTATCTGATGGACTGAGTGTGAAGCACATACAATAGGACCTAGCCGGGTTTTCTTGGACTTACCTCTCCCTGCCTCTTTTAACCTGTTGGTTCGAAGAACATTAGTGGGACAACTGGCACTGAAGAAAGTCTGTAAATTAGTTGAAAGTATCACATCAGGACCAATTTCTTGGTTGCTGTCATTGTTCTTTGCTTGTGTAAGGACTATCTTTTGTAAACATCCTGAGTTACATAGGGATGAAGAGAATCATGATGCCCACATGATGCCCAGTGATTATGGAAACAAAAGTGACATGATAAGGATAATGAGAGGCAGACAGGGACTGAGGAAGAGAGAAAGATAAAGCAAACGTGATGAAATGCGTAACATTCAGGGAGTTGAGGTTCAAGGAATACGGGGGAATTCATACGATTCATGCAATTTTTCTGTAAGTAAAAGTCAAAAAATAGAAAGTCAGAAATTCCTTACTGATAGTGATTAATCAGTAACAGTTGTCTGCTGCTGTCATGGGATTTTCTTTCTTTCTTTTTTTTTTTTTTTTTGAGACAGAGTCTCACTTTGTCACCCTTGGTAGAGTGCTGTGGCCTCATAACTTGCAGCAACCTCAAACTCTTGGGCTCAAGTGATCCACCCACCTCAGCCTCCCAGAGTGCGAGGATTACAGGCATAAGCCACCATGACTGGCCTAAGATCTCTTATCATGAGTTTGTGATCTTTATAATTATGAAAACCAGTTCTTCCCATTCCCTGCCCTGGGCCACTGGGGAAAGCAGGGGTGTGAGTCAGAAAGCAAGCATTGAGTCAGGAGCTGGCCTGGGTCTCTGAGAGGGACTCTGTGCTCAGTCATTCCCAGGGTTGGTTCCAATGTGACTGATAAATCCCCCAAGGGTCTTGCAAGGAGCCTCTCCCCTCTGGAAATCTGGATGGGGCAACTTCTCTTGGAAATGGCTGGGGTTGGGGGGAGGGAAGGTCAGGGACAGTGGCAGAGGAGGACATTCAGGCTGTCCTATGTTATGAGAATGGGTTGGGGTGGCTCAGGGTGGGACACTTGGTAAGCCCAGCCCCTGAAGATGTGAAGAGTTGGAGGATAGGCCTGTACAGATGCCGCTCAGAACCAATGCTTTGTCCAGATCCGGAGAAAAAGAGCAAGGTGGGGGTGAGGATGCATGCAGGACATTCCTGCCTGAGCACCAAGCAGGGCCCTCCCCATCAGCCGGGGCAGTGCAGGTGAGGGCCAGGAATGTTCTGTTAGCCCCTAGATGGCACAGCTTCCCCTGTAATGCTGGGTGCCTGCATAGGGACGGTGGGACCACTCACATGTGTCATTTCCCTTTGAGATTTGTTGATGCACTTGGCCCCCGGGACCAGGAAGGGCTCTGCAGCTGCCTACTCCCTGCCAGACTGGTATATCCACCACAGCAAGCCACCGACGGCCAACCAGCGGGAGTGAGTATCTAAGTGTGCCCACGTTTTTGTTTATCATTATAGGAAAAAAACAGTCCAATTTGAATTTTAAAAATACAGATATCTAATACTGACATCTGATATGAGATATGTGATATCGCAACTCCAGGCACTATTTCATCACAGCCAGCTCTTTGGGTTAGGCAACTAGGGTAAGTTGTCAGAAAACCCAGAGCTCCGGAAACCTGCAGCATTTTGTGCCATCTTAAGTCATGTGTCTGTGGACTCTGCCTTGGTCAGTTGTCTCAGTTTGTGTTCTGGGTACAATAGGACCCGGGAACAGCAGCCCCACCCAAAGCATTCTTGCTAAAGATGAAAGGCACTAGATAAAGCTGGAAATATCAGTAGTCCTAAGTTTCCATGATGATTACAGAGTTAGGGAGCCATTGTCCCCTGTACTGTTTGAAATGTCTAAGAAATTCCTTTATATGGGCATGCAAACGTTATCATCAAAACCGTTTCTCTTGAACTGAGAAGTTAACATGAAAAGTCATTTCGGACCACTTCTCCATTTTTTTGAACTTGGCTTGCAAAATAAGAGCACCCTAGGTGTGTTTTAAGCCATTATCCAGTGTTATTTGAATGTCCTGCATATGGCCAAATGCAGTTTTGTTTTCAGGATTCTGGTTCCCCCTGCTCTCTAAAATGAACGCCCTGTGCTAACACAGCTTACTTCTGATGTTAGCGTCATATGGTGGAGAGAAGGGATGAGCAGAGCAATAGAGAGCCTTAGAGAGGCAGGGGCCTCAGGTACACATGTGTGCTGCCTGCTTGGGGCTGCAGGAGAGCAGAGCAGGCAGCGTGGGGTTGCTGGGACCCCAGTGTCGCTGGCAGCTGGGCGGGTTGGGTTTCTTCAGCACTGGCAGCCAGGCGGGTTGGGTTTCCCCAGTGTCGCTGGCAGCCGGGCGGGTTGGGTTTCCTCAGCACTGGCAGCC